TGGAGATTTGTCATGATGATGATGATGATTGTTTGCACAGTTGAAGCAGAATTTTCATTGTGTTTTTTCTAGTCACTAAATATTTTAGCACAAAATTTTAATAAATGTTCATGAAACACATACAGCAGTGCATCAAATTAGGAGCAGAAATGTGTAGTTCTGCTCCAGGCAAGACATACTGTAGAATTAAGGAAATATTTCAGTATATATTTGCACTCCTCCTTATGTTGCTTTTGTTTGACCTGTGACTTTGTTAAAATAGTCTGAATAAAAATCAATGTCTCTTGTTCAGCACTTTTGCAAGGGAAGCAATGTTGCTCTTTGGTCAGCTTGTTATAATGTATTTTGCTCTGCAGGACAATCAGTTCTCTTTTCACCTCTTTCGTGAACAAACATTTTCCTGTTTTCTTGCTACAATTCATTAGCAGGAAAGCTGATTTTCTTGAAGTGTTTATCTATTGACCTTAGACAAGGTGGGTGAGGTAATATCTTTGATTGGACCAACTTCTGTAGGTGAGAGAGACAAGCTTTTGAAGTTGGTCCAATCAAAGACATTACCTCATCCACCTTGTCTGTCTAATATCCCGCGACTGACACAACTATGGTTACACTGAATATCTATTGACTTGTCAGAGGCAAACGTCAAGGCTGCACTGCTGAAGATGTCATCCAGAAAAGCAACAAGTTCAGACAAAGTCATGGCAGAGATGATCAAAGACTTGAGAGAAATTGGTGTATGCTGGCTCAGATGAGTTCTGCACTCAGTTTAGAAAGAGAAGAAAATGCCAAGAGAATGGAGAACGTCCATACTGGTACTGATATACAAACAAACGGTGAGATACACAACTGTTCGAAGTACCAAGGAATTATGTTGTCCCACTGCATGAAACTAAGAGAATTATAGATAGCCACATTTGCCAAATCATAGAATCACAGAATATCAGGGTTGGAAGAGACCTCAGGAGGTCATCTAGTCCAACCCTCTGCTCAAAGCAGGACCAATCCCCAACTAAATCAATAGTGGAACCCGTTTTAGGAAAGGCTAAATTTTGGTTTTAGAAAAGGAACAACAGGTGGTATATGCATTGCTAAACAAATGGTGGAAAAGAAGTTGGAAGGAAACATCGAGTACACTTGGGAGTTCCTCGATTTGGAAAAAGCATTCAGCATACTACCTAGGTGACTTCTGGGACTTTTGCTGTGATTCTCTGGGATAACAGAGGATATTGTCCAGATGGTGATGGGTTTGTGTAATGGTACCAGGATAAAAAAGAGCAGACGCCCTTTGGGTAATGGAGGGCTTCAAGGTGAAGGTTGGGCTCCATCAGGGATCAGTGCTTAGTCCGTTAGTATTCATAATTGTGACAAACTTCATAGGAGAGCAAAGGTACCATCTGTGCTGATGATATTGCACTAATGGCTGATAGTGAGGAGGATTTGATCCAGACAATCAATGCTTGGAACAGAGAACTAGCAAAGTATGGCCTCAAAATGAGTAAAACAAAGACTGAAGTCCTGTAGTTGACTTGCACAGAGCCAAGACAGATGAATATTAACATTGAGGAACAGTGCCTAGATCAGGTTTCTGGTTAAGTACCTTCATGATTTGTTAGTAGCAAATGGAGAAATTGACAGAGAACTGAAAGCAAGGCTGCTGAGTGCAGGGGAAGTCTGGAGCAAGATAAGTGTGTGTGATTTATGATAAACAGTTACTCAGGTTATTTAATGGACAACTATACAAACCATAGTAAGTCCAACTTTTCTGTATGGATCACAGACATGGGTGACCAAAGAGAGGCACTTGAGAAGACTTAAAGCCATTGTAATGATATATTTGAGGCCAGTGAGGGGGTGACCTTTTGGGTATACATGTGGAATGATGTCATCAGGAGTGAGACCAAAGTGTATGATATCAGAGAAGCTGTAAGGAGGAGGCTGAGATGATCTGAGCATGTATGAAGTTTGCAGGCGAAGAATGAGAGGATGGCCAAGAAAATGATAGATGGGTGGATTAGATATGAAGTATGTGAGTACTCCAAATTCCTAAAATGTTTACCGTTCCTCAAATGTAGCCATTTATGCCAGTAATTTTCCTCCATGACAAGAAAGGAAAGAGTGAGATTTCCATATATCCTTTAATGTGCATCTTCCACTGGCTGAAATCAAGCAGTTTATTAGACTGAGCGTATATTCATGCTACAATAAAATACTTATGGCTGGCCCGCATCAGCAATTCTGTGGTTTGCAGGGCAGTGTAGACATACCTTGAGAGTTTGTGGCTTCCCTTCATTCTGGCATTTAGCAATGCTAAACCATGCATACTCTCATGTTCCTTAACTGGCTTCTAACTGTGGAATTGCCTCCCAAAAAATGAAGGCAAGATTTGAAAAATAAAGGAAAAGGATGAAAAACTTCAGCTACGATTCAGAGAACAACAAACATGCACCAAGCTGAGTGTTGAGCATGTTGGTCAGCAGGGACTGGAAGTGCTGTTGCGGCATCGTATTTATCCCATGGGAGAAGAGAGTTTCCCCTGTGGCTCTTGAGTGAATCCTCTTGGCCAAAGCTTGATGCTAGAGGAGCCTCTTCTAGTTTTCTTCTACAGGAAGGAAATAATCTGATCAGGAGCTTTCAGGATGTTAATGGGGGAACGAAAGGAGAAACATGAAGAGCTACTCTTGCTGGATGCTCCCTGGCCAACTGGCTCATGGATCCAAGAGCTGGAGGACTACATGGGAGCTCCAGATTTCTTTTTAAATGTGTTTGAGGTCCTGGTTGACAAATGCCAGTTTACCAGCCTGTTGGAGCCAACCTTGAATGAGCCCTTTAAAAAAAATCCAGCTAATGCTCCACCATGCTGCTCCAGCATTCCGCCACAGCTTCTGAGTTATTGCCTCCAGGCTTGGCTCTGAAGTCATTGGGAAGAGCACTTTGAAATATGAGGCCCCTCCAGTGCTGCATTGTTTAGCCTATTGTTATAGCCTTTCTTTCACAGCTTTTGGACCTAATTTAGGACAGATATTACCAGGTTGAATCCTTAAGATCCCTCAGTACTTTATGATGATTTGATTCATTTATTTTTCTGAACTTAGCTGTAAATACTGAAGGTCTGTACTTGCTTTTCACTCGGTCTGTTGTCACACAAACTGTTGCTGACTTCAGTGAGACTTTGCCTGACTAAAGGCTTCAGGATCTGGCCTTTGCACTTGTTTTTTCTTAATTTGAATTTGGTTTAGGTATGCTACAATAACCTTAATGTTCTGGATTCCATTCGGAGGTGGGGGTTAACCAGGGTATTTTGGGAGTGTATTTGTTTTTGTTTCCACTCTGTTTTACAACTTAATTGTCAGTGAGTTAAGGGGGTTTAGATTTTGAGGGCCTGAGTATAGCTTATTCTGTGTTTGTACCCTTTCTAGCACAATGGGGCTTTGATCTTGGTTGGGACCTCTATGTACTGCTGGTAATATAAATAAATAAATAAGCCAGTTAGAAATTGTGGAGGGGAAGGCTTTCTCCCTCTTACTCTCTTTTAATTGTCTTGTGGTAGGTTATCAAATTTGCCCATGAGGACAGAAATTCATCTAGTATCCCAACAGCAAAATCACCTAGCTCACTATTCAAAGACCAATATTGGTAACATAACAGGAGGGTCTGTCCCCTTTAAGAAGTAGTGAGGACTGAGGCCAGCCAAACCCTGACCCTTGACATGCCCCTTTAAGGTTCCAGAAGTTCTGGAGCAGATGAGGGCCTAGGAAATGGCAGAGGCAGATGCTGGGGGAAAGAAAATGGTCTCAGGGTAAAATTCGGTGTCTGGGGAAAAACCCAGATTATTGTTTCCTTAAGGGTCTGGGACCATGACATATTAGTGTAGGGTGGAAGTAGGATCCCCTCCTTGCCAATCAGGACAAGTTCTGGGAAGGAGGGCAATATATACTCTGGCTGTTCCATCATAATGTGGAGATCTTAGAGGAGAAGGATTGTTTACTTTCTGGCCTCTTCTGGCACAGGAGAGAAAGGAGTGAGGTGGGTTGACTTGTCCTGCAAGTGGTAGAGGAAGATTTGAAGAATGTAAAAGCAGAGATGCCTGGGTGGAAAGGACAATAAGAATAGCCATACTGGATCATACAGACCAAAGGTCCATCCAGCCCAGTATCCTGCCAGGTGCCCCAGAGGGAGTGAACCTAACAGGTAATGATCAAGTGATCTCTCTCCTGCCATCCATCTCCACCCTCTGACAAACAGAGGCTAGGGACACCATTCCTTACTTCTCATAAAGATGTTGTTTTGAGTTCTACTTTGTTTGAAATGCTTTTGCTGCCAGCCAGCTGGAGCTGGATGAAGGTAATTTACAGGGAACTAGCTGGGAGAGGTTGGCCAAGGGCTGCAGCCTGCCACAGGAAATATGGAAGTTAGAAGCTGCAAGTTTAGGCACATCTGCTGATGCTTCTCCTTCCCCTTAGTGCTAAACTATCTTGGTTAGAAAATCTAATCAGGGACAGAAGATGTCTGAATGTTGCCTCATAGCTTTTATTAAAGTGTGATTAAACTCTGAAAAGTGACTATGTAGACCTGGGCCATTTTTACTCATTAGATGTGTCACCTGTGTGCATGCAGTGTCATAGCTGTTGATGTCCTAATTTTCCTGCTGTGACTGCCAACAATATTGATGGTGACTTTTCATATGGACACCTGTCCACTTGGAACTGGACCGAAAACACCTGCCTTTAAACACAGGCTGCCCAACAGACTTTGTATGATGACTTTTTTCTGCGATTAAACCTAGAGGTGAAGACTCTATGTCCAGTCTCCAGGCACCCCAGCTATCTAGTCCACCAAAATCTCTAATCATGCGGAAGAAGAACAATGCCAAACTTTCAGGTTGTAAGGAGCAATAACATAATCTTTGAATCCCTGATACAAGTACTACTTGTGTGTGTGTATAAATGTTTTTCCAGCCTTCCTCTTGTCTGAATGATTGATTTGTTTGTTTGCTTTTGCAGCTGGCAGAGTTCCGTGAGGTGGTCTCGCATATGTTGGGCCTTAGTGTTACCAGTCTTGCACTCCCTGACTATGAAATCATCACACGTCTCGAGGGGTTGATCCATTCTCATCAGCACCATTTTGTTCCCTGTGTCTGCCTCAAAGACGTGGTAGTGAGGCAAGATGGACACTCGCAAAGTCACTTACAGCTTCTTCACTGAACAGTGTCTCTTTGAGAGACAGGCGGACAGAACTCAGCTGGCTCTTAGTGTTGAAAATGAACAGCAGCATGAGTCCTGATTGTGATTGTGGGTGATTTGAGCAAATATTCCTATAACCATCTCTCTCAAAATGTATATATGGAGTGAAATCATGGCCCCACTGAAGTCAAGAGGAGGTTAGCAATTGCCTTCAGCGGAGCTAGGATTTCACCCACTGTACCAGCAGCGAAACAAAATACAGAAAAGGATCCAACCTAAATTTAAATTTCTTGCACTCTAGACACTGAAGTATTTTTAATAAGCAATATTTTTAATACAGCTAACAGATGTCTGTTTCCCTGTCCAGGAACAAACATATGTAATTCCTCCTACTGTTAATGGCAGTTATCTGTACAAATTCACAAATCTTGATAAGAGACAAGCCGTATCACCCCCAATATAAAGCTTGTACGTAATCAAGGTCTATGTGCTTGATAGACAGTATGTGGGGTATAGACCCACCTCTGCTGCATGGCTCATAGGACAGCCAGATTGTGAAAGTTCTGTTGGGTAGTTGGGCAGATAAAAGAGGCAGCTATTCAGTTACCTCCCCCAACCAACACATGCTTCGCTCTCATCATTGCTAGTCCCTCTGCACCCACTGTAGTTGAGCTTTAGAAGCTTGATTGGGTGGTGGAAAGGCAGAGGATATGAAGTAAGGAAGCAGCATGCTCTCAGCTCAGAGCAGTGTAAGTTGTGATGCAACACACATTGTAATTGCAACAAGTTCCCTTTTGCATAATTAACATACCATAGAGGGGTTAGGAGCATGGGGCATCTCAACAGACATTACTCCAGTCATTGAAATTATTAATCTATATTTTAAGGAAAATGAATTATAATCTTTACAATCTTTTTTTAGAAAAACAATTTTAGTACAGGATTAGGAGGGATTACATAAGTAATGCACAACTGGCTACATGCAGTGTAGTTTTTTTATATTTTGCTTTTCTCTGAAACATCAGTTATTGGCTATTTTTGAATGAGGAATACCAAACTTTGCAGACCAGTGGTATGATCAGGTATGGTAAATCGTATGTTCCTATGATTATTTAGATTAACACTAATTTCCTTTCTTATTTTCTATTGTGAAATGGTTTGTTCACATACAAGTTAACAAATATTCACAAATAAAAAGGAAAAACCCTAATATTCACAAATATAAAATAAAACTTGAGATATAGGCACTTCTTTCATTGAAAATAGCAGATTACAGATTAACATTTTATCGGTCAAACTGAACTGCTCGGGGGTGTGTAGGTAGGAAGAGGATGTACAGATATACTAATCCTCAGATAAGGTTGATAGTAGTTTTAGCCTGTGCTTTTGTTTGTTCCATAATTACATAGGTGGACAGAGTCTTTGCCAGCTAGTGTAAAGCCCTGTCAGCTGTTGTTTCTTACATACACACTTTTAAAATACTGAAACATGCTTTATAAACCATAAATTGAACAAAGTAAAATAAGAAATTAGTGTCTGAACATACTAGGTGTTGAATGTACTCCCAGTAGGAGTTGAGTGCACTTGACAACTTTCAGAACTAGTCCCTCAAAACACCGCTAAGAGATATGTATTTTTAGTTCTCTTTTACAGATGGGGAAACTGAGGCACAATAATTAGATGACTTGCTAAAGGCCACAAAAGGATTCAGTGTCTGTCAAGATTAGAGCATGGAAGTTCCTGGGAGCTCAAACCAAGAGACCAAGGATGAAATTCTGGCCCCTTTGAAGTCAGAAGCAAAACCCCGATGACGTTAGTGGAGGCAGGATTTCACCTCAATCCAAAGAAAGGTTTAGTCTAGTCTCTTGTGTTTTGAGCCCAAGATTAGCAGAATCAGGAACTTCTGAGTTCTAATTTTGTCTCTGACTTTGTTGCCTCAATAAGACATATCATGTACAATTTTTAAACAGTACATCAATGAATACATCCCTTATTCTAAATATTTGTTTTTCTTCTGGAAGAGTTACTGGCATCTTTGCTCATTTAGCTAAAGCAAATAAAAAAGTAAATAAAGCAGTAGTTTGACATGAACAAAGTTCAGAGTGATTTTTTAACCATGCAGTTTAATTAACCCCAAGCTGACTTGCAATCTTCTACTGGGCTTTGTTTCATGTAATGTTGAGAACTTCAGACTCATTATTTTTCACAAGGAAAATTGATTTAGGTAACATTCTCTTTGAATCTTTCATTTTCAAACCAGGATGTAGCAACCTAAATCCAAATTAATTAAAACCTTCCCCAAAATATGTTTTAAGATTGAAAAGGCTTGGAATACCATGCGCTAACCATTATTCATATGAGTAGAGTATTGTTTTCGCTGGGCTTGCTTCTGTGAGTAAGAATGAAAAGAGTAAGCGTTTGCAGAATCTTTCTTTATAAGGATTACCCTTTCACTACAGTAGAGGATTGTACTGGGTACAAAATATATATAAAAATTGAAATGCATTTGCTCATACGCATAAAACTATAGAATGTTTGTTTTCAATTAAAGGCCAAAATTTTGCTCTCAGTTACAGTGGTAAATCAGGAGTAATTCCACTGAAGGCAGTGGTGTAACTCCAGATTTGCAAGGGTAAACAGAGCAGAATTTGGCTCCCCTTGTTTACAATTTTCGAGGTAACCACTGAAATTAAATAAATAAGTTGCCCGTAACTTGTTGAATTTTAATCTCTCTCCGCCTATCTTTCTTTGAACAAATTGTCTCTTACAGTATTTGTACTGGATAAAATACAATATTGTATCATGTGTGCCACAAAAATTCTGATAAAGCATTGTTTTAAAAAAAGGATGTGATTTTGAGTTAATTTTTGTACTTCATAACAAACTTGTCACTACTATGTTTTGAAAACAGAGAAATTATGCAATAAGGCCTTGATTCAGCTAAGCACTTAAGCAAGCTGAAATGCTTTACTGAGTTTGAGCCTAGAAGACGAGATCCCCATGAATAAGTGCTCTACCTGGTTTTTTTTTTTTAACTTTGAGAACACGAGCCATTGACATTTCTTCAAACCCAGGGGGACCAATGGTACCCATGTGAACTGGTCAGTTATTTTATAATTATGAAGAAAAAACAAATGAGGGGACCCAAAGCTTATAAAATGTTGACAATGAAAATCTTGAGTATACTTCCAGAAAGATAGAGAATTTCTGGAGCAAAGCTACTGTAAATGCCTTTTTCACCAAAACTCTTTTGATAGTAAAATGTTTTCTGTGCTAGAAATGGTAGAATAGACTATCAAAGGAAGAGAAAGAGACTCCTTGAAGAGGAGAAACTATCATGAAGTTAGAGAAAAAGATTATGTACTGGTAGGACTGGAACACAAACAACCAAATGAAAGAACAGGTTTAGAAGCTGGATAACTGGCTTGGGAGGAGAGGGAGGTATGACCCTGAACCGCATATTCTTCACAGTAATATTATTATGATATGATTATGACAGAATTATAAAGTATTTTATGCCAGGTACATCATGTGAGGTGTCATTGGAAAAGTTATGATTTGCTGAATATGATTATCCTATTTGTATGCATGTATCATTTTTGTATCGGAAGTTATGAATATTGACTATATCTGTATTTCAAATGTAGTTACAAACCTGGGAAACACCCGCTAGACAAGATGCTTTCAGTCTAAATAGTGGGTGGGAAAGGGTCTATTGAGGGCAATGGGCCATTAGGAAAAAACAATAGGCCTTCTGAGAAGCTTACGTCCCACCTGGGGAGCCTTCTTGAGAACGCTACAGACAGTTGCCACGTAATGGCTGCTATGAATCTACAAGGACATGTGATCAGACCACATGATGCTGGACTCTATTTTGAGATGTCAGTATTTTTCCACAGACTGGTCTGGGAACCAAGCTTTGAAAGAAAGTGTTCCTGCCATATGCAAAAGCTATATAAGGCAAGGAGTGACATCTGGTGTTCTTCACGTGCCACCCAAGAAGACTCCTGGAAACACCTGAGGAACAAAGACTGAACTGGGGGATGTGTTGGACCCAGGCTAAAGGGATTTTTGGCCTATGAATGCACACCTGTGGATTCCAAGCTATAAGTAAGTGCAGCTTGCCCCTTAAGAATCTGTAGCCTGCTTGTATCATTTCTTAGGGTTAGAATCGACTAATTCATATCCAATCTTTTTCGTATATTAAGCTTGGTATGCATTTTTTGTTTATTTGCTAGGTAATCTGCTTTGATCTGTTTGCTATCACTTATAGTCACTTAAAATCTATCTTTTGTAGTTAATAAGCTTGTTTTTTCTTTATCGAAACCAATGAGTTGGAGTGAAGTGTATGGAAATCATAGCTCGGGCAAAGGCTGTTGCATATTCCTCTCCACATTGCAGGAGGGGGCGAATTTTATGAGCTTGCACTGTACAGTTTTCTGTGCAGCACAAGATGGTATAATTTTGGGTTATACTTCAGTGGGGGGTGTGAGTTTGGAAAGCTAGGAAACTGGCTGCTGGCTGCTGCATGTTGTTGAGTGGCTTGGGTGCAGCTGCTCTTGCAGGTAGCTCACTTTCCATGTGTGGCACCATCCGCTGTCGTGTTCAGTGATAACAGGGTCTGGATTAGGCTGGCTGTGTCCCCAAGCAGTGTGAGCAGAGCCAACCCAACTGAGTGGTTAGAGGGGTCCAGCGGTTCCCAGAGCTGCTAGACTGCACCCCAGGGATGACAGCCCATCACAGGAGGGATGGAAGAATTGGGGGTTAACAGAAAGGACTGGTAAGGCTGCTCATTCTTCATAATTTTCAAGCAGCAGTTTTCAATTTGTTTTGGTTCTCTTGCCACAAGAAGTGATAATCCTGCATAGATTAAACTATCTGAAGTTTTTTTGGCAGGAGAGGGTTGATCTTAGATGGTTCCACACATATAAACATTGTTCAGCAATAACCTTGAAATTACATAAAATGAAAGGATAATAAAACAAAAAAAAACCCCAACTTGCCTGACAAAACTGTCAGACTTCTCTGGCAGCTTTAAAGGTCAGCTGATGACTCATGGAAACAATGATGAACATTCCTGTTATAAATTGATGAAAAAAATCAGATGATATATTTTCTGCAGGTTTTTCTTCTTCGTCTTGAAGGCAATATATCCTATATGAAAACAAGATGCTTTTCTTTCCTAGGAGTTCATAGGCTTCTGTGGTTTATGTAATAAAATTACGTTTGTCAGCATGATCTCCACAACAGCTGTGATATCACAGACCCCACAATCGGTGCCCTTATGGGTAGACTAAATAAAGTAATTATGGAGTGAATTGGCAAAGAGATTGAAGCATCCTGTTAGCCTTCCCTATCATTCCTCCAATAGGTAGCAGGCATAGTAATAGGGCAGTGGAGCTAAGCTTGCACTCCTGTCTCTCATGCTGTACCTAGTCAATGGATCCCAATAGGATTCATTCTGTAAGTCAGCTGGGCACCTTTCACAGACCCAAAATTCATATTAATAAACCTCTGGCCTCTTGAACTTTTTCTCACCTAGGCAAACTTCATGGTAGTAAATCACGTTCTCAAGTTCCCAAATGTTGTTTAGGCCTGTAAGGTGCTGAATGTCTCTGGAGCGATACTGAGCTCCTTTAACTTCAGTCAGAGTTTGGCATACACAGAACTTGCAGGATCAGGTCCTGCATCCTACAGACATTCTTGTTACCGGTAATACATACGATATCTCTAACTATAGAAACAGACCCAATGTGCATTTCATTTAAGTATTGTTACCACAGTTTTCTGGTCTATTACTAAAGAGTACAGAATTGAAAAAACCTGAAAAATAATTTGTCCATATATCACTTTCTGTTTGAAGGTAGATTGCTGATAACTTTTGTGTTATGGATGTGAGGTATATACACTGAAACTGTGGTCATGTTTGGTACCATAACTACCATGGTATCATCGCTTATGCTTGGGACAGGAGTGAAAAGAAAAATAACTGAAAGTAGTTAAGGTTGCATTTCAGTCTAAAAGTAAGAAGATTAACTTTCTGAGCTTCCTTACTGTACTCTAAGGAGAGAGAAGGTGAGTCAGGTAATATCTTTTAGTAGACTGCGGATGAGCTCTGTGTAAGCACCAAACCTTGTCTCTCTCTCTCACCAACAGAAGTTGGTTCAATAAAAGATATGACCTCACCCACTTTGTCTCTCTAATATCCTGGGACTGACACAGCTACAGCTACACTGCAAACATGTACTCTGAGTTCTTTAAATAATTAATCTGTTTGTAAGTGAGTGCTATTTAAATTAAACAAGGTTCTGCTCATTATTATGCACTATTAGAAATAACAGATTACATTGAGGAATAATATAATTCATCTCAAAAGATCTGAAAGTGCTTTACAAATGTAAACCCCTAGACGGTTTTATATCTCACCCAAGGGGGAGCTGTTTAAGTTTACTGCCAATAGTCATAGGAAGTGGTAGGTTTAGATTTTATGTCACTGTTTACTTTGGGTAACATATTTCTGTGTTTTAAAAATAGTTAACCTAAGTACTGAGCTGCTAGAATGCTAAACACTAGAGAAATCAATGAACAAGTGAAGAAGAAATACTCTGTCCATCTCTGGGTAATATGGGGCATTTAGCATCTCTCAACTCCCCTGTACACAGGAAATGAAGCATACTTTATTAGTTGAAACTTCAATTGAATAGTGTACCAATTGAAACTGAATGTAGGTAGACAGAATGTAATAACTTGGGTTGGTGTTTGGCAAGTTACATGAGACTTAGCATTGATTCAGAGTGCCATATACTGAATCATCAGTATTATTTCATGTGGGGATTGTATTTCCACTAGAACAATGCTACTCAAAGTGGTGGTCCGCGGACCGGTGCCGGTCCGCGAGCCATCGGCTGCCGGTCTGCGTGCACATTGGAAAAAAAAATTGCCAGTTCCCCACATCAGATAGCTTGAGAAGCACTGCCCTAGAAGACTGCTGTTTTGAGTAGGAATCCAGCAGTGTTTCTGAGATCTGAGGGAATCAAAGGAAAGATATTTCCAGTTTATCGTTGTTACTGATTTTTGCAATACTAACTTTGTGTCAGATTTTTTAAGTTTCTTGTTTCAGTGACCATTTTGATTTTCAAATTTTTGTAAAGAAGCTGTTAAAATTTCATACATAATCTGGACAAGAATCTCTGGGTACAAAATCATCCTGCTGTCCCCATATAACTAAGCATGATGATGCTCTCTTCTGATTATATTATGTAGTAACTATCAAACACAAATTTAAATACATGTGTAAAATGGGTAAAAAGACACTTTAAAGCACTTTAGTCCTATCCAAGCTGTATTCACAATATTTTTCTGTTTTATAAAATGGAGGAAAGCAATAAATCATCCACCTTTTTCCAATTATTAATGCTTGTGTTTTCATTATATGTTTAACAATTTTAACAAAATCTATTTGTTTGGACAGTAATTCTTCAACCTGATCAGCAAATTTCAGAAAAGGGAGGTAACTTTCCTCTTGGTAACATTTATCATATGTTAGTTAGCCTTAGCTAACAGTCATCCTCTAGAAGAAGGTTGCACACAGCTTGACTTTGCTGAGAAGTGCTGCACTGTGACTTCCTCTGGAGATCATTAGTGCTTCTCTTAACATTGAAGAGAGAATGGTCATTTTGAATTTGAGCTTGTACATACATGGTAAAGCTCCCATTGACTTCAAAGGGGCAGGATCAGGCACTTTCTCCCTGTGAAGCAATTGCAGAACCTGCTAGTGATGGTGAGCTCAAAACTGAAATTAAGACCTCATAGATCTAAACTGAGATGGAATCGGAGACCAGACCCAAAGAATTTTAAACTGCAGACAAAGACTGTAGAAGGTAAAAGATAAAATATAAAGGGATCAAAACACCAGGAGCATGCTCTGTGTTTTGTTACTGTAGACAGAAGGGTTATGTCAGCATGTAAATGAATCTCTGTGACTTGCCAAAATTGGCTCAGGGATCCTAATTAACTTTGTCCAAATGAAATATTTGGTGAATAGATTGTATTTTGGTAGTTTGTTAAACCTGAAAGATTGGAGGAGTTGCAATGTTGGCTACCAGCAGCATTTTTATCTTCCAAGTATGAAATATAGTCTCTAATTTCTAAAGGAAGTAAGGGATTTTATTTTGATTTTTAATCTGTATACTGTATATATGTGTAGTTTCTCTGACGAAGACTCTATTCTACAATATACACTAAAGAATTTAAAGAGAGATGTTTATAGCTGAAAACAAGATTTAATTATTCACAGCTGACCAGATGCCTTTAAACTAGCTAAATACAGCATAAATAATATTGCTAATTAATTAAATAGTTACTATTTGTACAGCTCTTCTGACAAAGGAAAATTCCATGAAAATTTAAGGAAAGAGATTCTGTAGATTTGTCATATATTTTGTAATAAATATATGGCATTGATCAACACTTGTGATAATTTATCAGATTTCACAGAATCTGATTTTATCAGAATATTTCACATGAATTTTGCATATTGTCACACACTGTATTCTGCTACATGGTTATGCAGTGCACATCATGAAACCTTGCAAATATATTTACAATCGATTATTTTCCAGAGGAGGAAACAACCTCCTATGCTGGAGGAAAATGTAACTCTCAATGTGGACGAAGGCCCAAATTCAGCACAGTGCTTAAATTCATACTTCAGTACTTTGGTGAATCAGGGCTCGAATCTTGACAATTGCACTTTCTCTGTAAAATGGAGATAATACCAACCCACGTTTGTAAGGCACTTTGATATCTACAGTTGAAAGTGCTAAGTATTATAATTAATGTTTGTTAATATTCACATACAACTCCCATTGACTTCAATTGGTATTTTTCCTGTGTAAACACTAGAGGATATGGCCCTATGCTATTTCCTTTGGTATGCATATCATTGACAGCAAAATAGCAGGCATTTATCTCTAGGATATATTAGAATTTTATTTTTGTTTTGAGAACTCTCAAGGATTGAAATTTTTAATTAAATATAATCGGAGTTTGAATTACGCTGCAAAGTCTGCAGCACAATACTTACTTGCTGTTGGCAAAAATGGTCTATTTTGGAGAAATAAAATTATCCACTCCTTCTGCTGCTGCTTCTTAGATGCAGACATCAGAGCTCAATGTCCAGGTTCTGTAAGCAGAGG